CGCACCATGGCCGGCTCCGCTCGCGCCCGCCGCGCGCCCGCCTCTTCAAGCGGCCTCCGCAGGGAAGCCGCCGGGCCCCGCGCGCGGCGTATCGCCGCTTTAAGAGCSAGGGGTCGCCTCGGCGCGGCCGGGCGGGGGAGCCATTTTACTGCGGAGCGCGAAGGGCGCCCGCCCGCGCTGAGGGGAGGGCGGAGCGCGCGGCTGGCGACGCGACCCTGTCCGCGCGTCACCGAGACACGTTCGCACCGAGCCACCACTGGTGGCTTAAGGAAACGTTACAAGAGAAATATATATAGATATAACATGTATATATATTTCTCTCTCTATATATATATATATTTTTTTTTTTCCCGATTTTTGGCTATTCTCCCCTAAAGCAGCCCACAACCCTCACTCACTGCCACACCAAGCAACTGCGTTGATCCTGAACRCAAAGTCAAGGTCCTGGGCAGCCACAACTGTCCCCAACCCTCGTATCCCATTTCTTCTACCTTATTATCAACACTGCAAGATTTCCAGAAGCCCAAATTACCACAAGGTGAAAAAAAGGGTAGAGCGGATCTTTTCCTTTAAAGGACCACCTCTTCCCATATCCATCAGTTTTCCATTTTTCCTCCTAGGAAAGGGTCTCCCCTTCCCCTGGCTGGCAGCCTGTGCAGGTTTACCAGAAGCTCTTTAAGCTTCCTCCCTTTAGGCCCCTACAAAACAGGGGGTCCCCAAGGCACCACAAACACCTCCTGGTCCCAGGAACTGCCATTGTGGCCAGCCTTGCTGCTCCTGCAGCACATTTGGGATGAGAGAAACTCCAGGTGGAACTGCATTACCTGGTCATACAAGCACGGAACCACCCCGGGCTAGTTAACAGGGTCTGACCTCAACACCACCACCAGCCATCTGAACTAACGAAGCCAAGGCCACTCGCCAGAAGTGCCCAAAGCTTTTCTCCCCCCTGAAAATACACTTTTGCCCTTGAAGAAAAGCAGGTCCTAGCGACACACTGATCCCTAGGGATGGAAAGACTGCATGTTTCCCGTACCCAAGAGCCTCCCGCACTGCGGTGTGCAGAGCCACCTCCCTGCTGTCCTCCCTCAGGTCTTCGTAGTGCTACAGCCCAACACCAGGGTCGGAGCTGGGGCAGCCCAACTGCAGCGGTGGCTGACCTCAGGGCTCAAAAACTGCTCTGAGAACAAGCAGAGGTTCATTGGAAAGTAACATTTTAATCCTGATTGGCCTGCTGCAGTTTCAGGTTATTTTAAGGAGTCTTCTAGACATTCAGAGGAGGAACCCCTGCTAGCAATGAAACAACACAGTTTTGATAAACCCAGCACTTGAAGGGACCTGAATTGGACAGCCCAGGTACTCATGGAGGAGAGCGCCCACGTAGTGCATGGAATGTAGGAGAGCAACAATATTTACAGCAGTTCAGAGGCAGAGCACATTGTAGAAGGTCCAGTTCTGCCTAGAAGTTTCATCCTCCAGTTCTTACATCTGTACCTACCAGCTGGCTGTTTAATCACGCAAAGTCCCACTCTCAGCCTCTCCAGTGCAACTAAGGGCTGAGACCATGAGACCAGCTGGAATAGCTCAGTGACAGGGGGCAGGAAGAGCATCTATCCAGTGGTTAGAGTAGGCAGRATGCTCCATCACGCAGCTGTCCTGTTCTATTGGTTCTATATTTCTTGGAGGACAAAAACAATCTACCCTCTGCAAAGAGTTCCACYACAGAGGGACACAATTAGCCATAGGCATTAGTTTCAGATTGCTTAAACCTTCAGTTGCTCTTGTTCTACCACAGCAGCAACACCTGGCTGCATCTGCGTCACTAAAGCATCATTTGAAGAGGCAGAAAAAAAACCCAAAAAACAACTGCTTGAGATTGCCAAAAAGAATGTAAAAATGTGTTTCAACCTGTCCTCTGGTCTCCTCACCCATTCTTGTGAAAATTACAGTAGCTTACAATGAACTGGCCTCAGGTGACGGAAAGACCACTAGTACAAAAGCTGACTACACCCCTTGCTAGGGCCTTTTCAGCTCATCAGCAGTATTAGCAGATCTTAGAAAGTAAAAGACCACCCTTTAACAAATCAGTACCCATAAATACAGAAAAGTGCAGTGTCAAACAGCTATGCAGAGGTGAGCCAGCACAGCATGGAAAGAATAAAGCATGCTGGATTAGTGTTCAAGAGCTTTTGCAGTCAGAGCACTTGGGTGCTCCAGTTCCTCCCAGTGAGGAGGATTATGGTTCTGATTAACTTGACATTCCTGCAGGTCAACGTTTCTTTCACCTCAGCCTGATCCACTGTATTTGAAATGYAAAGGTTTCCCTCTCAAAAGGGACAAACCTCCAATTCAGGACAGTGACTCCCATAGGGCTGGCACACAGAGAACTGGACCATTCCCAAGGGTCAGCTAATGACCGAAATGCTTGTATCCCCACTGGGTTACACCAGGAAAAGACATGGTACAGGTCTGACCTAAAAGCAAAACACCCTTCCCGACAAGAATTGTTGTTAGACAATTTCAAGGTTACCGTGACCACAGCTTATATAGGGCAATATTATGCAAGTCACTGAGGCAGAAAACCCCAAAGCCATGCCAATATAAGCCCCTAAACCCAGCTGTCTTCACAGCATGTACTAGATACCCATTTCTTGTGTTTCAGAATCCTGATTGTAGCTGGATATCCTTCAGTTCAGAGCTCAGAAATCAGTACTGCTGCTGATCAGGCTGCTAGAGGTATCGGCCTCCCTTCAGCAACAACTGCCTGCTCTAAGGCTGTGCGTAATAAGGCTTGACTTAGACTACACCTCCCTCGTTGATTAAAACCACCATAGTCTATCTTTCGAGGAGACCTTGTTGATAAGGCGAATCTGGATTCGGGCAACTTGCGCGCGCGAAGCGGCCGCCTGTAGCTGTGTCCGACCATCTCGGCTTCTCCCAGTCTCTCTCCCACGCGGCAGTCCAAGCAGCTGGATGTTGGGTGACACACACCACAAGCTGATGCAGTCCTCCTTTCCACACATCCCCATGATGGCAGACATGAAGGAGAAGAATCCAGAAGCCCCGTGAACGGCAGAATGAGCGACTTCGGTGGGATACATTCTATTTACAGGAGAAAGACCCTTCTCTACTCACCCACCAACTTCACTGGATCCAACTTGTCCCTTCCTCATTGGAAGTTACTCCGCGCGAGCAGACTTCCTTAATGCAGAAGGACTTCATCCCACAGGACTTGAGGGATATGCAGATAGATGGTTTCTTTCTCCCCAGACTTAAAGTCATTAAAAAAAGATACAAAGAACTGCTTTTGGCAGTATGGAGGTGTTTAAGATTTGAAAAATATGGAGTGCAGGACCCAAGTAGATGGGGAAGTATTCAGTCCTTGACCTAATAAATAGAGTAGAAGAAAATCTTCAAGGTGGCCAGTTGCCAAAACACAAAACTTGAAGTCCTGCAGAGATCTCTAGGAGTTTTAGTGCACCATACTGTACAAGGACATCTCCTAGGATCCACTGCCATGCAGTTTCTCTGACACTTTTTTGCCAGGCTCACGGACTATTTGGAATCCTGAAGTTCCTTTGCCTTCTTTAAAATCAGGTGAACATCAGAGATAGGGTAATCCTGCAAAGAAGCAAAGTGATGTAAGTGTCTCCTTAACATTCCTTGCACACACCACCCTATCCAGGCAGGGCAACCCTTAACAATAGCATTCTCAGTCACACTGATTAACACCTCTAAGCTTGAGGTTAAATATTATCTTCAGCTACTCCCCTAACAACTAACTGTTCCCTGGTTTATTTTGTAAGTGATCAGGTCTGAATAACCTTCAAGAAGGCTTTTTATTTCTCCTYCAAGGGTACAGCTAAGCTGCCTTGATACAAGTACTATCTTCATGCCGGAGGGCTTTATCAAAGAGCCAGTACCTTGCACAGCCCAAAGCAGGAACTGGCAGAATCAGAGATATTCAGTGTTTTCAGCCTTGGGCTCTCACAGACCTCAAAACTAAACAAATGCCATTTGCCAACAAATTTAAGACTGTTTTACAGGGTTCACATATTTGCTGGAAACCATTCAGTTATTTTCAAACCAAAACAAGGTTAAAAAAAGCTCAAGTATAGAGCTTATTCTACAAGAATAGTTCTCGTAGGGCAGGAAGGTTGTGTAAGCTTAAAAAAAAAATCCCACAAAACTCATTTTAATGGTGGTGCTGGACTTTAGAGAACAGCACTGTATTCCACAAAAAGAAGACCAAAGAAAGAACATTCTTCTCTGAAATAAAGGCCACTACTATCATAGCACCAAGATATAGCAGAAAAGGGAAACAGAAGAGATTCAGACAGCACTCGGAAAACAAAACTGACAGTGTTCAGCCATCTCCTGCATATGGAAGTGAAAACCAGCATGGGGAGCAACGACATGGACACAACCACTCAGAGAGTCCAAGCAGTAACCAATTTGTCTTAAGTGGATAGTTTCCTGATGGGTGATGGGGACCACGGTGCACAGAGGCTCACACTTTCAGTAACAGCCATGCCCTAAAACCAAGCTTGAGATTTCCCTGCATACAAGCCTCCAAAGTCTTGTAATTCTCATCAGCCAGTCCTTCTCCTGGGCTACCCTAGGGTCACCAGGCCCTCACAGTATTATTGCAAGAGTTTTTCAAATTACTTTCYGTCCCTGCTGCATTTAATCCTTACCTGTAGCAGCCTCATGTTCAGAGTGAAGTCTCCTTCCAGCAACTGATCCCGAATTAGTCTGAAAGATGGAAATTAATCCAGCTACTTCTGATTCTTTACAGAGAAACTTTAACCATGGGCCACAGATTGCCTTATAGGTGCTTTTGAGAACGTGTTCTCCATCATGACAGATGACTACAGTCCATTCATAGGCTGCATTAATGTGTGTCTGCAGAAGACTCCCAAATCCATGAATTTATATAAAGAAGGGAGAGAAAAGGGCAGTGAAGAGCTGCTATGGCTATACTTACGTCAACATGGCACAACAGACGAGCAGAAGGAAATCAAAACGCTTGTCATCAGCAAAGAGGGAGTCCCAGATACGGATGACGTCCGGCAGCAGGAACTCTTGGGACAAGAGCAGTGTCAGCCAGCGGAAGGCAAAGAACTGAGGTTTGATGTTCTGTTCTTGCTGTCAGACATGCACCAGGCAAAGAATGAGTACGTGCTCTCRGCCAGTCCCCTACAAGCAAGAGATGCACCCCATGTTTCCAGCCCCAGCTCCACCCCGATATAGCTCCAGGTTGCAGGTTCACACTGMAGCATCAACAAGTCCACTGCCTCCTTTGAAGCCTCTCGCACTTAAACTGTATTGGGAGAGAGTGTGGTGTCACTGAAGAACTATCTGTGTCTATAGACAAGTCAGAAAATGCTCCACGCCAAGACATGGAGTAAAGGAACTTCTCCTGTCCTAAAGGCAGTCACTGGGTCAGTCCAGTCCTACCTCCCAACCCACTTTAATGTTCCCATTGGAACAGCATTCATCTCCAGCCCTTCCCTTGGCGAAGGGATACTGTTTTGATTGCCACTCCTGTCCAGAAGTCCTGTATTTACCAAAAGTTTACTCTTTGCAGAAAAAGAGATGGAGCAGAGCTCATCCTGATAGCCATAAGCAATTTTAACCTGTAGCTTTTTTTTTTTTGTTTTGTTTTCTACTTAAAAAAAAACAAATTAGCATGTTAAATTGTTAAATGAGTTCTGACAACTCAGGACTAGCTGCAGCACCAGCAAGACCATTTCCTGCTGGCCAAACAGACAACACTGTTTTCTCCCCTCTGAATTAGCCTTCAACGAACACATGATATTATGTCACCGTGCTGACAGACCAGTTTTGGATTACACAAGAAACACATCCTGAGTTTTGCAAATGCAACATGATTTGGTGAAGGATGGAGTACCAAGAACCACTTTTCCTTCCATGTTCCCTTTGGACTTTCACACTAAAGGGACTGCAAGACTTTTAGTAAATGCTGCCTTCCAGATATTCTGCAAACTCTCTACCAAAACACAAACAACCCAAAACATGCAGAGGTCCTTGGATGAAGAAAAAATGGTAGAGCTAAATTGGCAGGATGGTCCAATTTGCTGAGTTTCAGTTGACCAGATTAATTCCACAGTGATTTCTAGGTCCAGTTTAACTGGAGTTTAACTCCAGTTTAAACCAGTGCTGTCAGGGCATTCAGTGGTAGAGGAATGACTTTTTGTCGGTAGCGGGKTTTTTTTYGTTGTTTTTGCTTTTTTTAAACTCTAACTTAAAAAGACCAATGTAATCCCTGTGACCCGAGTTTCCAAGGAACTTTACAGGAAAGCTTATGTTTGGCCTGCTGACAGGAAGAAAGTACAGACTCCAGTTCCAACTAAGCTTCGACACAGGTGATCAGGGATCACGGCCAAGTCTCTCCGGAGYGGGAGCTCTGCAGTGCTGTTTGCCCTCGCAGCCACGCACGGGAGGAGAGCTCTGCTGCGTCAGCTCCCGCCAAGCTTACTCCAAGGAGACAGATAACACAGCCTTTGCCTACGGGCAAAGTTCTYTCTATGCTCTCTCAACCTCTCTGTGCTCTCTCAACCTTTCTACTCGAGCACAGTAGATGTTTAACAAGACAGGGTTACTGTTGAGTCCCACTCCTCACATTCCAACCACGGCATGGAGAAACACCTAGCTCCTCACCAGTTTCAAATACAGCTCCACATCCTTCTCCTTCAGGGTGGAATAGACCTTCTCCATCTTGTAGGTAATGCCACACTGAGAATCATCCAAGCTCTTAATGAAGTTGTCCCGAATCTCAGCCATTAGGTTGGTAAAGCAGAAAAATGTATCTGCTTCTGCGTGCTCTGAAAAAGGAGGGAAAAGATGGAGCATCACTGACAGTCACCCAGATTAGAACTGCTCTTGCTCAATAATCTGGCTGCTCTACTGGATCCCATCAGTAGATCCAGCAAGATCTTGGCTTGTTTGCTCTGGAACAAGTTTAGGCTTTTTTTTTATTTATTTTTTTTGTGGTAAACTAGAGAAGTCTACAGAGCCATGGCAATTACAGAGCCCGTGTCAAACACAAGAGCCTTGTGTCAAACACAAGGTCTTCATGACATGGGGTCAGGAACCAGTTATCTGTGGCAAGAGCATTATCTGCTCTCCCCGCTGCTTGCACACATCCTCAGAGCTCCAGTGAAGCAGGAATCACATGCCAAGTCCCCCCCTCCATSCTCTTTCTTAAGCTATGTACAGTGCAAGCAAACAATAGCTTATACGCACTTGTTTCAGTCAGGAAGTGCAACTTAGATCTATACAAATAAACAATAACAACAACAAAAAAAMCACTTTCCATATCCTTACTACTCAAAGCCCATTGAGTTTGTCAGTTCTCTGGGATCTTAAAAATTCCTTATTTTTTGCCCTGYATCCCCCAAGCAGTTGGGATATATTATTAGTGTTTTCATAGTTTTCTGTCCCCTTTTCAAGGCAGCTAATRCAACTCTTGGTTGAGTTCCCCAGTCCCCAGCATGGTCTGTTAAGAGCTTCAGCTGGGCACCAGTGCAGATGAGTAAACGTTTGCTTCAGGTCAGTCCCCCTCTGCAGCCCATCACTGCACATCAGGGCCCTCCYAAGTGTCCCCTTCCTGAACCAGTTCCTCACACAGAGCATGCAGCACGAGAGCCACTGCCGAGCGGCTAGAACAGTCTCTCACCTTTCCACTCGCTGTTAGGGTCTGTAGCAAAGGTGTAGTAAAGAGGCCCCACTATTTCATTCATCCCCTGCACGTACGCTATCCCGGGGTTCAGCTTGGCATAGATGAAGAGGATTCGCTCCACCACTTCCCAGTGAGCTTCACAGCCATTGGGCAGAACTTCATACTCGCTCAGAGAGTTAGGAGGTGTTTTAAGAGGGGAGCTCACCTGAAGAGCAAGGTAAGACTAGGGCTGATTTAGGGTAACGAGCTGGTACAGACAGTTTCTTACACGTGAAGAGCTTGGCTCTTAATACCCACAGCTCCCCAAAAGATTTGGGCAGCACATCCTAAGCAGGCAGGTATTCACACAGATCAAGACAGGTAACTATGGAAGCACAAAAGCACTGGAGTCTTAGCACTGGATATGTTGGAAGAATGAGCCATTCTGAACAGCGACAGCCTCCCCAAATGACAGCATCAGCTGCACTCACGCAGTAAGAAAACACATCCATCCCACTTTGTTAGTAACGGAGAGAAGGGACAAAGCTCTATTACTAGCAAGCTGCCTTCCCCAACAGCAAATATGTGGTGTTAACACAGTAACACTCGCAAGACAGGACAAAGACAACACGTTTCAGCAGGTACCCAGCTCTTCCCAACTCCAGTGGTATGAGATCCAGGTCTGGAAGACCATGCACATCTAACTTCAGTGAATTTGCTCTTCAGAGCCTTGCACTTACACAGGAAGACATACAGGTCAGGCATAACATACTGATACCTTCCTGCAACTCTTACTTTGAGCAGGAGGCAGAAAGAACAAACCTTAAGGTTAAATAAATCCTTAATTCCTTACCAGCTACCRGGAATGCCAGCTGGTTCTTTACAACCATCTAGTTATTTGAAYGCATAGCATTGGCTAGAATATTAGCCTAATTCCCTCAAATATGTAGAGAGAGACAGGAAAAAGAGCCTAACAAATGATACTCCCCTAATCAGCTAGGATGCCTTGCCCTAGGGGCAGCCCTCCTGTGGCTCTTACATTTGTAACCCCACTGCGGTTTCGTGCCACCGTCTGTGACTTGAGTGTGGTCTGCTCTACSCGCTTGCGCAGCGTCTCAAACTCATTCTGAGGGTCCAGGATTAAGAGGCAGGGGTAGTCAGTCGGACGCTGGAAGAATGCCATGTCCGGGTACAGCCTCCTAGAAGGGACGTGGGAGAAAGTCAAGTATACGGAGGAATTACATGCCCTACCTGAAATGGGAAGCTTGGTTTAATATTAAACTTAATTTTCAAAGTACAGAGTGTTAACTAAAACGCTTTGGTTCAGAAACCTGAGTCATGACGCACCTGACATCTTTGTCGATCTGGAGAAGCACTTCATTATCCTTGAAGTAGGTATTCCATCGACTGTCTGGGTTTGGATTGAGAGGCTAAAAAAAATTAAACACAACACACACATCTATCCATGTAAATGACTTCCCATGAGAAAATTTCCTTGCTAGAAGCACCTGTTATGACCCTTTCCTATTCTTCAGGAGACCTGTAGCCGAGGTAGCCAGCTCCAAAGGAAGAGAGTAGGGATGCACATTGCTGAGAAAAGCTCCCTTCRGAAGTATTGATGCTTTGCCAATAATTTGGGCTGGAGACTACTAAGACATAAGTGCAGAGCTGGTACCTAGGAACATTCCCTCCTGTCAACAGTGCAAAACAGTCTCAGAGCTAAGCCAAGAGTAGCCTAGGAGATGAACTCTGGAGCAACAGCTCATAACTCTAGGGAACCTTCTGCAACATAAAGGCTGAACAGCACTTACATGATCTTCTAAGGTCACATCTTCCCTGGAAACACCCAAATTGGCTTTGGCAATCCCAGGTTGGATAATCATTTCCTTCAGAAACTGAGAATACAGATCCCTTAAGAAGAAAAACAGGAAATAATGTCAAAGCAAGAGACCAAATCAAAGTATCCACACCGAGGTCAAAGAGATCTTTTTGTACTACCCTGCCAGCCAGAGAACATTTGATTTGCTCTTCAGCTGAGTTCAAGCAAGAGATCAATCCATCAACTCCACGAGACAGTCCACAGGACAGAGCATTCCACATAAGAATACTTCATTGATGTAGGTACTTAATTATTTAAGGAACCATTCCATTTCTCTACAGAGATCATTARAAAGGAAGGAATAAATATAGATCTCCTCACCTCTGCTTCTTCAGCAAAGAGCTCCATAAGGCTTTCTCTAAAGGGAGGTAGTTCAGGAGAATCTGTACAGAAGAAAGATGCAGAAATATCAGCCCGTGGAGCATGAGCTGCTGAACCCGCACGATCAGCAAAGCCAACGCAGCAGCTGGAAGGGGCTCCCTGGAACAGCTGGGAGCTCCCTGCAGAGAGCCCCGTGCTTGGCCAAGGTGCRGCCAGGAGGGTCTCAGGGGCAGGTTTTCACAACAGGCCTTTCTGCACGGCTGCTCAACAGCAAACGGGATCGAGCCCCGCTCCCGGCGTAACGCTGCGTTCGTGCAAAGACCGGGCGGCCACTTTTCAACATGCAAAATAACGACTGACCTGTAAGTCCTACCACACCGGGCCAGTGCTAATCTCCACAGGCCGCTGCTCRTTCAGGGTGGATTTTAGACTCCGGATTATTACTTTTGTTTATGAATTACAGGCCCGAAAATATTTTCTGTGCTTCAGCAACCCCGAGCACCGCTCGCAGCAAACAAAAGCGGCCCCGGCACAACGCACCTTCCAGCACAGGCAGCGCAGCCCGCCGTCAAAGGGGATTCCTGCGAAACACCAGGCAGAGAGACCGTTAAAGGCCGCGGGCGCCCCCCGCACACGGGGCGAGAGGGCGCCTTGCCGCCGCGGGGAACGACGTTCCCGCAGGGCTCCCCGTCCCGCGCCCCCCGGGGCCGCTCACCGCTGAAGCAGAGGTCGCGCAGCTTGCCCAGCGCCACCGTGGGCTCGCCCAGCACCTCCTGGAAGTCGGCGATCCTGCGGGGAGCAGGCCCCGAGGCGGCCATTAGCCACAGCCCCGCTGCCCGCTCGCCCGGCCCTGGCCCCGGCCCCGGCCCCGGACCCACCTGCTCCGGTGCAGCCGCGACATGGCGGCCCCCGCGCCCCGCGCCGCGCGCCGCCTAAAAGCTCCGGCTGGAAACGCAAGGCGCGGGAGCGGGGGCTGGAATGGAGAAGGGGGAGATGGGCGGGGCTACTAAGACCACGCCCACAGATCCACAGGGGGCGGGGGTCATTCTGACCACGCCCCTCTCCGGTGACCACGCCTCTCTGGGGGAGGAGCCGTGCGTGACGTCACGGTGGCACGCTTGACGTCATGGCGGTGAAAGCCCAGCCCTCCTCCCTCAGCGCGGAAAAGGCCGCGGCGCCCGTTGGTGTGACGTCACATCTCCGATGACGTCACATAGGCGCTGCGTGACGCAGCCACGCTGCGGTGACGCCAAGCCGTGAGGGCGGGCGGGAAGCGTGGGCGGGGCCCGGAGAGTTCCGGGCGGGCCGGTGCTTCCGAGCGGCGGCGGCGGCGGCCGCGGCGTTTCCGGCGCGGCTGGCGGAAGTGACGGCGGGGTTTGTTGACAGCGGAGGCCGCGGCGGGGGGAGCGCGCCCAGGAGGACGCGGAACCGCCCGCCGGGGCCGCCCCCACCCCCCGCCGGGCCGGGCCCCGAACCGCGGCCGCCCGCGCGGAACGCGGAGGCCGAGCGCGCCGGGAGCGGCGGCGAGCCGAGGGCTCCCGGCCATGCGTGACCTTCCGCCGAGAAGAGGCGCCGCGTAGCTCCTCGGCGCAGCGCCGCAGAGGTCAGTGCTTCCCGCCGCCCCGCTCCGGCCACCGGGCAGCAGCAGCCCCCAGCTGGACGTTTTGTGCTCGGTTTGTGCCCGCGCGGGGGTGGCGTTTTCTGCACCGGTTGCAGGGACCCGACCATTAACGGGAACGCAGTGATTTGCAGCCGCAAGATGCCGAGCAAAATGACAGTGCAGTTTTCCTTCAAAATCTCCCCTGTGCCAGACTCCGTTTGCTTGAAATCTGTTCACATCTTTCTTTATAACTGATATCTGACGGTGTTTATTATTTGCCCTCTCCTTGGACAAGTACCCGATGTTGAAAAAAGCAGCTTTAATCCTTAGGGCAGCGTAAATGGTCTGTGGCTGYCGGGGAGCCGCACGGTGCCTGGCTGGGCATCAGGGAGAGAGGGAGAGAAGACGAGGCTGAAGTCCAGGGCAGAGCGTTACTGGCACAGGCGTCCCCAGGAGCGTCGAGAGCAGCGCGGGCCACTGAAGCCAAGAACACCTTGAAAAATACAGATGTAGCCCCAGATAAGGCCTGTTTGCAAGAGAGGGGCCCTGGAGCTGGCAGGCTGGTGAGGRGGGAGAGGGAAGCTGCATTTTATGGTACTGCAGGTTCCTTTAGGTCCCGGGATGGTGGGAGGCTGCTCTCACTCCACTGATAGGGCTGCTCCGGTGGGTAGTCTGGTATCCCGGCTTTTATACGGCTGCTACCTTGCCTTGAAGGGGCTCAGTTCCTTCGTGCATGGATATGGCAGGGATTCAGGTGGAGAAGGAAACTGCCAAAAGAGATTTTCATCCATAGTCCCRCTGCCTTCTCCGTTCCTGCGTTTGCACTTTCTGCTTCTTCCACACGTCTGTCGTGATCCTGCAGAAACACAGGCGCCAGCCAGCACCGGTGACAGCCCTGCAGGCAGGCGACTTGCTGCTCTGCTGCCTGGGGATAATGATTAGGCAAATGTTAGTGATTCATCAGCATCTCTGGTTCTTGTGTTTTTATCAACAAAGCACCCTGAGCTGCTCTGCAGAGAGGACATTCCTCAGTGGAGTCCCACTGTTGGCACTGCCGCCTGCCCCTGGCCACATGTCACATTGTGAGTCTGTGTGGAATTTCATAGAGGAGGCGCTAGCCTGGGTTATGTCAAAGGACCATGGTTGCAGCCTCAGCTCTGGGTGCTACTCTAATATGGGTAAGAAATCATGAGGGGAAAAGCTCTTCTTAGGTGTTATWTTACCAGGGGAGTTTAATGACTTTTCCCCTGCAGGGAACTTTGTTGGGGGATTTGTGGGAGCTTGGAAGTTAAAAGCGCAGCTGATTTCTCCCGGACTGGGATCAACCAGCTGCGCTGTGATCGCCCCAAGAGCCGGACCCTGGAGAGCTGGGAGCTGCAGAAAGGCAGAGCTTGCCCTTTAGTGCTCTAAGCTGCTTGGACAGGGCCCAAGCACTGGCCTTTTCCAGCTGCATGTGACAACAGATTTTTAGTGGGAATTTGTTTCTGAGGTCCCTGGCTGCCAGTAATAAACAGGGCAAGAACACGGGCTCCAGGAGCTCTGGTCTGATGGGCCAGGTGAGCTGGTGGGAATATCAGAACACATTTCCCTGCTGGTTCAGATATTCCTGTTGATCTTGCCTTTCTGGAAAGATTCCACCCAGCAAGCGGGACTTGTTCTGGACAGGAAGCAGATGCATCTCCAGAACAGACACAGGGCAGAGCACAGGACACCTTCCTCCTACCTGCAGCGTCCTAGTCAGCGCCTGGAGGAAACTCCCACGCTGCAGCCAGCGGCCCCTATAATCCTCGACTCCTCTCCTGACATAACTACAACGGAGAGCGCTGTTGATTATGGATTTCCTTCTTTTGCAGTATGACTCAAGACCCACCATCTTACTTTAGTTCTTCGTACCACGCATATCACAAAGGTCTGAGTTACAAAAGTACCCTTGGGAAGCTGTAATTCCATGTTACGACCCTGGCTTGGGACACAAGTGACTCAGAGCAGCAGATTGTGCCCTTTAGACTGTCTCGCGCGTGGCTACAACTTTTATGATTGCTGAGTTTTATTTAGTTTTTCTCCGCTCCCTGCCTCTGCTTTTGCTTGGGGACCTTTCTGCCTCCTGAGCCAASACCAGCAGAGAGGCTGCCTGAGATCCCTCAGGAAAGCCCACTCCAGTTCTARGTCAGAACACAGCAGGTCTTAAGGAGCCTGGGGATTGAAACGTGATCCTGCCAGTTGCCTGCAGCTGCACAGAGGAAGGAGAAGTTATTGATCAGGCTCAAGTAAAGCCAAAAGACAAGGCAAATTCCCTGCTGGTGCCTGGCAGTGTCATCCAGTTGCCCTAGAAGGGGTTTGGCCGAGGGAAGCAGGGCCTGGGGCGCACACCTCCCTGGCGAGGTCCAGCATGGCAAGGCCTCTGTCACCGCCTACGTCCTTGAGTGSTTGCTGTGTCTGCCGTGGGTTAATTCTGGGGCCAACTCTTTGTCCCTGGCACTGAAACACACCCTCAGAAAGAGAATTAATGAGACACAGAAGGAAGAAAAGAGCTTTGATTTGCAACTTGTGCTGCCCTCATGTTTGCACAGAAATCCATTCTGCAGCACAGGGAGGGATCAGAGGGCCGGGAGCCCGGGCTGCCAGGCAGGCTCAGGCACAGCTGTGCTCCTGTYTCCCACAGAGACCATTTGGAGCCTGAATTTGCAAGGTTACCTCATCCTCAGTTTTAACCGATCCTTTCTAATGGTGTCATGGCCCAGGCAGGGAGCATCTGAAAGTACCTCTGAGGGAAAAGGGTGCCTGATCCATCCAGGCTGGCTTTGGAGATAGCGATTAAGGTCAAGAAAGCAAATTAAATGCTTACTATGTTATGATAATACTGCATGAGAGAAGAAAAGAGCACAGGAGACTTTAAAGGACTTCTCAGAAGCAGAGAGCAGGGGACACACAGGTATCCTGCTCTCTGCAGCCACAGGATGATAAGAGGTTGGCCACATAGTTAAAAACATGTTGCATCAACTTTGACAGCAAGGGCTGCTGAGCTGCGGCCAGAGGGGAGCTACTGGCTCCATGGCACTGCAGTCCTGACTACCTATAGGGATGCAGCAAGTGGAAAGGCGCAAGCTTTCATGTCAAAAATAAACATTTCAAAAAATGTATGTGTGTGCATGAAAAGTATCTAGAAGGGCTCATATTGGGTTGCTTCTAATGTGATTTGACCCTTTGAAAGTAAAGGGAGTTTTTGTTAAACCAAACAGGATGATCTTCCTCTAATTCTCCCTGCTTTGTTATCCAGCATGAAAGAATAAGAAGGGCAAAGAAAAGCCCCTGGCCTTTTTGCAGCTCTTTCACACATACTTTCTTGTGGCAGCTTGGAGTGGTTTAGGTGAGCAGCTCCCAGGGAGCTGCATGCATCTGTGTGCTGCCATTCACCCCCCTGCACTGCACTTGCAAGGGAAAGCCAAAGCAGTCAGTACCGTGTCCTCTGCCTTCTGCTCTGCTTCACCCTCTAGTCCAAGGAGCCTGAAGCTGCAAGAAAAGCTCAAACGTGAAACTTCATGTGCAATGATGGCAATCACAACTACAGGCACAAGACGAGGGCTACTGTGTTTGGCCTCCACAAGGAATCTTCCCCACAGTAAATTCTGTGGTGGTTGATCCAACCCTGCCTGAAGGGAACAGAGCAATGTGGTTTCTGCCACTTCCCTCCAAACGCCCTTCATCAGCCAGATAACGCTCGCAGTGAGGAAACATTTGCTTGCTGTGTAGCCTCACTACCCAATGTGTTTCATATTAACTCATTACTGCAGTGTCCCCCAAAAAATGCAGTGTCATTTTATCCCGTGTTCACCAAGGAGGGAGCATAAATCCCAAGGAATCAAGGACACACTTGCAGAGAAGCCCAAATGCTGCAGGTTCCTTTGATGTCAGCCAGTGACTGGCTGCAAATACAGCAGCAACATCTCGCTAGTACAAGAGCTTTGCAGATCACCTCCARTATCCCCATTCTCAACATGTCTGTTTTCCCTCTGCTTGTAGTTGTCCTGATGCCCCTGTAAATGCACCCTGGAATTTCCCTCGTGTGGAGGATCTTCTGAATCAAAAGCTTCTTTCTGCGCTTCCCCTTCCAGTTCCTTCCTTCAGGATGGCATCCGACAGCCCAGAGTCACTGATGACCTTGTGCACCGATTACTGTCTTCGCAACTTGGAGGGGACTCTCTGCTACCTGCTGGACAATGAAACTCTCCGGCTTCACCCCGACATCTTCTTGCCAAGCGAGATCTGCGACAAGCTCGTCAACGAGTATGTCTCCGGCCGGTGGAGAAGCTGTTGTCTCCTTTGGGGAAAAGCCCAGGGAAGGGGAAACGAGGGAATGAAGTTCTTTAGGAAAGAGTGTTGAGAAGAATGCAGGGAAAAAGAAATGGGAAGGAATTCACAGGGCTCTTCTTTGATGTTTGATCCTCATATTGGAAACACAACTCGGCTTCAGAATGAAGTGTCCCAAGGGTACTTGTACCGATATATGCTATTCTAATTCTGCCAGTCACTATTCCCCACATAGGTAAACTCAAAAGTAGAAAAAAAAAGAAAATCATTATTTGATCCAAGAACACCAGTAAGCAACAGAGGAGCTTTCCCATTTCCGCACCCTGACATCATTAAAACTCAAGTCAGAGAAATAAGAGCACAAAATACAGAAGCTGCATTTTAAGGCTGCTACTCCTATAACTTTACAAAGCAACCTGCTTCCAGGGATTTATAACCTGGTCATCACAATCTGTCTCAGTTGAACCACTGCCCATGGATTCTGGCAGAGAACCCTGGCCAGCTAATTTTCTGAAAGGTGAAGATGAAACACCAAAATACTAGTGTTAAATGGGTGGAAAAGTCCCGATGTCCATGCTCGACAGAATGCAGTTTGCCCAGAAATATCCATATGACCTCATGCAAATCTCTTCCTATGAGATTTTCCTAAGGGTTGTTAGTTTTGTGCAAGAGAAGATCCCAGCCCAAGTTCCCACTAGCCCATAGGCTATTTTGGGTGATCTGCAGGGAGTCTGCGTGTGCTCACACGCTCGGTCACACATTAGTGACCAGCACAGATGGTAGAGCTGTAGCGGAGCCTGTGTGTCATGCTGTGCTAACATCTTTGCCCCTGATACAGGTATGTGGAGTTGGTGAAGACAGACAGCATCTTTGAACCCCACGAGAGCTTCTTCACCTTGTTCTCTGATCCACGGAGCACGAGGCTAGCTCGGATCCACCTGCGGGAACAGATTGTGCAGGACCAGGACCTGGAGGCCATCAGGAAGCAGGTGGTTTTGCAGTGACGGCCTCTGGCTGTCACGTCACACTAGCAGCAGTGACACGTGGGCACCAGCTAGAATCGCAGGCATCCTGAGATTCTCAAAGCTCCATTCCTCTATTAGAAAAGAATCCTAATTCTTTCTTTGGAAGAATCACAGCATCTCCCTCCTCAGATYCCAAAGCCCCTGTCAGGGATGGAATGGGGACACGGAATGGCCAAGTCAGATGATAGCTGGTCTTGGGCTTCTCCCAGCAGGAGATAGTGAAGGGAACGGTGGAATACTTCCACTTGTGAARTATTTCTAACGATTTGATTTCCCGTCTTCCAGGATCTTGTTGAGCTCTACTTGACTAACTGCGAGAAGCTGACAGCCAAGAGCCTGCAAACCTTGGTGAGCTTCAGCCACACGCTTATCTCCCTTAGCCTCTTTGGCTGCTGTAATATCTTCTACGAGGAGGAGAACCCTGGAGGCTGTGAGGATGACTGTTTGGTGAACCCCACTCGCCAGGTCTTGGTTAAGGACTTTACTTTTGAAGGCTTTAGCCGCTTGCGSTTCCTGAACCTCGGCCGCTTGATCGAGGGGGTAAACGTGGAGACGTTGCTTCGGCCTTTGGCCTCCCTTGCAGCTCTTGATCTCTCTGGGATCCAGCTGAACGATGTGGGATTTCTGACCCAGTGGAAGGACAGTCTGGTTTCCTTAGTGCTTTACAACATGGACCTTTCAGAGGAGCACATCCAGGTGATCGCACAGCTCCGTAAGCTCAGGTCAGCAGACTTCTTCCTTCTTTATCCTTTTGCCACAGATAAGAGCCATGCAGATYTCTTGGGAATGGGTTACTGGCCCATTGACTGAGAGACATCCACAACTGCTTTCAAGTTAAAAATGCTTCCTTAAACAGGCTCAGTCATTAACTTGCTGTACAACTGAAACATCTAAAATCAGCCTGGGTTTTGCTTGCAAAATTGTATCAAGGCCATTCACATAGCAGAAACTCTGTTTAAAAGTCATAACAGAATATCTGAGAGATGGGGAAAATGGTTGTGGATGTGTGCAGGTACTGGTGTAGTGAAAACCACACTGTAATTCAGCCCTTGAAACTACCAGTCAAATATCCAAATTTGTCTTTGAGACAAAACTAGGAAAAAACCTCTCCCACAGCTCCTCACACTGTCTGCTCTGCTCTCGCTAAGCACACTGTGCGTGGATGGAGCAACCAGGGGAAAGAGCAGCCAAAATAAATTGGCACTCGGGACTTAACCTTGCTGACAGTGGAATGACTTGCTGAAACAGAACTGAGACAATTGCTATTCGAGAGACACAATGGTATCAGGAAAGGGATTCAGGACTTTCTGAGGTAAAAAGAGGGGCCTTACTGTTTGAGCAGCTGATACTTTCCAGTGGCTTTAATACCGAGTCTACTGGCTGCAAACACTAGGGGGTACTAGGGTTACACATGACCCAAAAGTCTCAGAAAAATCTCCTGGAGTAAATCCGAGTAACTTAATTCAACCCTGGATATTTTCAGTGCAGCTTGGTCTGCAACACATAGAAGTMATTTTTATGAACAGAACATTGGCTCCTGTCTTAGGCAGTTTAGAAATCTCTCCTAAGGAGTCTTAGCTACTGCTTGGCAGGTCAGAACTGKCCCCGTAGAGCAGACCTGTAAGGGACACCACTTGCACGTGGCAGTTGATCAAGTTGTCCCACAACTCCTGTGGTATCAAAAATCCACCAAAGCATAAACACTTAAATACCTAAAAGATACATGAACTTAATAGAGAGTAACASCCTGGGGTGGAAAAAGAAAAGATTGCAGAGCAGACAAACTTGTGTTACTTAATTTGTGGGGTGAACCAGCATATGTTTTGGGAGATGCAAAGATCCTCCAACGCATCTTAATCCCCAGGCAAAATTGCTCAGGTGGCTGCTGTGGTGGAGCCTGGGAAAGGCAGTCCCTGAGCCTAGAGCRGTTGGCTTTGTGGTGGCCAAATACACCGTGCTGCACTCTGAGTAGGCTTCCACCAGGCATCTGTGACTGTGGTTAGACACAAGCCAGATCCTGCTGCCAGATCCTACAGAACCATATTGCTGTATCTCAGAGAGGAAAGGGGAAGAAAAAAAGAAACAAAAACAAACCTTGGTTTCTCTTTTTTTTTTCCTGATAGAGTGGGAGAAGTCCCAGCTGATGCTTTCCAGGCTCTGAGCTGCTCTCTGTCATTTGCAGGCACTTGGATATCTCTCGAGACCATCTGTCCAGTTACTACAAATTCAAGCTGACCCGGCGAGTTCTCAACCTGTTTGTGGAAAGCTTGGTAAACCTTACTTCGCTCGATATCTCAGGGCACACCATGCTGGAGAACTGCACTATCCCAAGCATGGAGGAGAAGATGGGCCAGACAAGGCAAGGGAACAGTAACTACTCATGTCTGTTTGGATGGAAAGTTTTGTCAAAATTGAATTAAGGACAGTTCTGTCTTCTGCGCTTTCAAATGCTTTAGGTCTAATTAATATTAAAAAGCAAGATACAACTGGTGCTAATTCTCCCTGATGCTAAAGACCTATATGGGAATCAGTTATGATTCCCATCTGTGACATGGATAGGAGCTTTAAATGTAATAAAAAAATCAACCTACCTGTCTTGCACACGTATCTGAGGAAATATTCCAGCCCTTCTTTTCAATACACATCTTTCCGAAATCTTTAGCACTAGTTTATATTTCCTCTGAGAGGAGTCTGAACCCCTTTACACATTTTCTAAATGAAACATTCTTACCCCAACCAGAGTCCAGGCTCTTCTGAGGCATTTCTGCACTGAGTCAATATATGCATGTTTATAGGAGAACTGGCTATACTAGGGACTTAGAATCTAAAGGTGGATTTTCAGATTCTACCTTTCTGCTAGGCAAGTCAACCTTTGAAAACCCCAGGGCACCTCAGCAGAGACACACTTGGAAGTCTGTTTTTCCAGGTCAACCAAGAGCTCTGCTGTCCTAGTCCCTGAACACTTACAAACAAAAGCAAACAAGCAGGACAGCATTGGCTCCTTTCCAAAGCTGCTGAAAAAGATATTGGCTCCTGCTTAACAGGAGCAGTGCAGTCAGAGTGAATGGAGAGCAGATACCTGCCCCTGTGGCAGAGAAACAGCAGGGTACCAACATGAGTGATCTCTTCTTTTCTCAGCATCGAACCAGCAAAGAGCAGCATTGCTCCCTTCCGGGGTCTGAAAAGACCACTCCAGTTCTTGGGCCTTTTTGAAACATCTCTCTGCCGCCTGACACATATTCCAGCTTACAAGGTAATGAGGCAGCAAAAAATATTGGCAGGGGGTAGTTGGTGGAAGTGCAAAGAACAGCAAAACCCCTGGCTGCCAGTAGAGAGGAGTTCTCGAATTTTGGCATGTGACAACTTGAGCTCTGACCTTTCAGTAGCCACTTGGTAATGCAGGAGAGCTACCAGAAGGCAAGACAGGCACCACAGTTTTCGCAAGGGGAAGATGTGTGCCTCTTAGATAAGGGCCTGGGAAAAAGCACCCAGCAAGGTGTCTATCCTTATTCTAACAAAACAAGGATTTAAGACAAGGAAGAGGAGCCTTACTTGTGAGGACCATCTTGCTGCCATGAAGGGGCCATTCTTTCCCTCTGGGCTGAGAAGTGACATAGGCCCTTTGCTCCCACATTGGGCCAAGTCCTACCAGCAGGAGAGAAAACAGTTGTGTGCTTTAACCTTCTAAATTTACCCTCAAAGCTCCCTTCTCATGCTGCCTTTCCTCCTGCATCCTTTATTCTCTGACTCTTTCTTTGTCTCCATGCCAGGTGAGCGGGGACAAGAATGAAGAGCAGGTTCTGAACGCTATTGAGGCTTACACTGAACACCGACCAGAAATCACTTCCCGGGCCATCAATCTCCTTTTCGACATTGCCCGTATCGAGCGCTGTAGTCAGCTGCTGCGAGCGCTCCAGGTGAGCCCAACTAAGCATTTATCTTACCCCTCAAGGGAGATTTTTCAAGCCCAGGCTTTCTGCTGCCCTTGGACACCATGGCAGGCCATTGAAGAGGAATTTCCTTCCCAGTTTGTGCAGTGAAATTGGGTATCTTGATTTTGTGAGATGCCTTTTAGGATATTCCTGCAACATCAGTGCACTGAAGGTTCACGTTTCTTCTCTGCAGCTGGTGATCACAGCCCTGAAGTGCCACAAGGATGACAAAAACATCCAGGTAACAGGCAGTGCAGCACTGTTTTACCTGACCAACTCCGAGTACCGCATGGAGCAGAGCGTGAAGCTGCGGCACCAGGTCATCCAGGTGGTCCTGAACGGCATGGAGTCCTACCAGGAAGTCACAGTAAGAGCAGCCCAACCTCCTTCAGCTCCTATAGACCTGCCTTCCCTGTCTTTTCCCTTCCTTTCTTCTAGCCTGATGTAGCATCTAGGCCCTCTGAGCCTCCAGGATATGAGTCAAGACAAGCATTAGAGAAAGCCCAGATCCATTCCTTGCCTTCATTCCATAATGGAGATTACATGCAGGGCACTCTTTCTCCACATGACAGAGAAAGCAAGTGATGAGGTGATAGTTGTGGATCAAAGTTCTTTTTAGGTGATAGTTGTGGATCAAAGGATGTCTAAAGCCCATGGTATAGATGTCCAGCCCTTATCGTGGCAATTAGGGGTGAAGATGTGCAAGCATTAGGGGTGTTGAGTCTATAGAAAGTGACATTATATTAAGGCACTGTACCAGAAGGTTGCTGATCTTGGATAGTACAATGCCCCTGGATTGTAGAGTGGCAATTGCTGCATGGTGAGTTTATTGGCAGCAAAGCAATGAAACTGGGCGATTGTGAGATGCTAGAGTGACAGCAAGTGAGAAAAGGGAGGTTACAGATAAAGCACAAGGATAGGTATGAGGGTAATAGAAATTTTAGTCATAGCAGTTAGGCAAGAAAATGGTTTTGGTGCTAAACAGCAAGGGAACATGAGGTGATAGGACTGTGTTTTCTTAGCCTCCCAGCACAGTTTGCTTATTCTTGCCCTAGGTGCAGCGGAACTGCTGTCTCACACTGTGCAACTTCAGCATCCCCGAGGAGCTGGAGTTCCAGTACCGCCGAGTCAACGAGCTGCTGCTGAACATCCTCAACCAGAGCCGGCAGGATGAGTCGATCCAGCGCATCGCCGTGCACCTGTGTAATGCTCTGGTCTGCCAGGTGGACAATGATCATAAGGAAGCCGTGGGCAAGATGGGGTTTGTCATGGTTGGTATGGTCCCAAGTTGTCTGCTTACACTTAACCAGGCTACCATGGTTCCCTTACAGCAGGGCAGCAGGCACGTCCAGCCAGTGATTCAACCTGACAGTGTCACAGCGGGGAACCTGTGTCCCAGCGGTGCTAATGTCTCCTGGCACCTGTCCCTCCATCTGACAGCTCTTCCTGGCTCGCCAGCACTGGAAGTCAGGCTCATAGATAGGCTCTACGTGAGCACAGGGAAGCAGCGTGACCCACTGCTCTCCCATCTTGAATGCATTATGCTCTTTTTGGAACTGATACGATCTTTGACCCACCTCCTTCAGCATCTCCCCAGAGTTTGCACTAGTTTCCCAATTCATGTCCACTCATATCCCACACCTTTCCAAAGACCTGCTCAGGCAACTACCCTGATACAGTTACCACATTTCTAACTTTGCAAAAATGCTTAAAATGGATTTCACTGTAAACTTCGCAGTTCAGGGACTCTGAGCAAATACCTGCAATACTGAACATAACTTAGTCCCATTAAATCAGAGGAAGAAATACCAATTAGGTTTTGTGCAAAAGGTCAGATTTTCAGTCTGCATTTACCTGCTATTGGCTGTAGCCAGGTGGTTGTAAGCTCTGTAATTTCTGACCTGTTCTCACTCTCACCTTCCTTGCCTACAGACAATGCTAAAGCTGATTCAGAAGAAGCTGGCTGATAAAACGGTGAGTGTTTTTACCAAAAAATATACAAAGTATTTTCTGTTCAGCCTGACATAGGCATGTTGATCAGTCCAGGATGCCAGCCCAGTTTTTCTACAAAACACTAGACATCCCAGCTGGTGTTGTAAGATATTCTCTCCAGAAAGGAGAGGGGGGCGGGTAGCAGGGAGGCAAAAACAACAACTACAACAGCAACAACAACAAAAAAAAACATTCATCAGCAAGCTGAAAGTGAATAACAAGGTCYTCTTACCTGTGAAGTTCTCTGACGTTATGCCAGAGATGACATACAAGTACTTGGTTTGCATTAGCAAAGCTCTGTTTCTCTCCCTCTTTGGCTCCATAGTGTGATCAGGTGATGGAGTTTTCCTGGAGTGCCCTCTGGAACATCACTGATGAGACCCCTGATAACTGTGAGATGTTCCTCAACTACAGTGGCATGAAACTCTTCCTGGAGTGCTTAAAAGTAAGTATTTCTGGCTTCCTCTAGAGGAATATTGGCATTACTAGTAGAAATGCAGGTGCATGGGCACAATCCCTGGCTGAACTGATCCACAAGCAGACCATCAGCGTATGTCACTATATAATAAAAACTTGCATTTTTTATCAATTTATTTATTTTTTAYAGCCATCCACCCCATAGGGAAAAAAACATGCATATCATCATCTTCTTTCCCTATGCTGTATTTATAAACACAGTCCCCCTTAAGCAAGGCAGCAGTGGATAACAGGCCTCAACTCCCTCATTTCACATAGCTTGAATGCTAGAGAACACTGCTCACTACTCAGAAATACTCCACTTTTCCAGATGCACTGCACAATCTTTCACCAGAGCTGCCTGTTCTCAGCACCATCACAGTCCTACACAATCCATCCCATCTCTTGTTCCTTTAGGAATTCCCAGAGAAACAGGAGCTGCACCGCAACATGCTGGGCCTCCTGGGCAATGTAGCAGAGGTGAAGGAGCTCCGCCCGCAGCTCATGACCTCCCAGTTCATCAGCGTGTTCAGGTGAGTGCATCTGACAGACAGCTGGGCCCAGGCAGGGTAAAATGTGCTGGGGCTCTGCTGTTGAATCACCTGGGAACGTGTAAACATTTGATGCCTCAGCTTGCTTTCCCATCGAAAATCACATAAAACTAAAAGGAAAGCATAAGGCAGCTTGCATTGCACAGCGTAGGTGTGATACAAGTGACAAGCTGAGTCCCTGAAGAGCACTGTGTCCRTTTCAGGCCAGAGATAATTTCTCTGTGATCTTCTGTGGTAGAGATCAAAGACATGATGCTTTTCTGTCTGTGAAATGTTGAGTAAGGTCATTCAGGCACCTCTCAGTGATCTCTTCTATGTTTGTAGCAACCTGTTGGAGAGCAAAGCAGATGGGATTGAGGTATCCTATAACGCCTGCGGGGTGCTCTCCCATATCATGTTCGATGGTCCAGAGGCCTGGGGCATATGCGAGCCGCACCGAGAAGAAGTCGTAAAAAGGATGTGGGCAGCCATCCAGAGCTGGGACATCAACTCCAGAAGGAATATCAATTACAGGTGAGGAATAGAGAAGCTTGGCCCACTTACCCAAGAGCTGGGTTTGTCCCAGGAAACACGCAGCAGCAGACAGGAGGGAAGAGGCACGGCCCAACTCTGCCTAAGGTGAAGGAGAAACATCCTTAGGGACATATTCCTTAGTGAAGGTTTCACATCTTCTTTGAAAGTGTGTCTGACACACACACTGCTGAAATTAGACATCTTGCTTGGCAATTCCTATAGGAGAAATATGGGAACCCAGCAGATATTGTGGCATGTTTTTGGTGAAATTGCATAATTCAGAAACCCAGGATCTGACTCTCTGAAACTGCCTGCAGTTTGTTGTTGTTGTTTGTTTTTGTTTCTTTCCTGAGATTGCTGTCCCTTTTTCCTCTTCAAGTCTGTTTCTTTCTGAAAGTCACATGGATTGCTGCAGCTTTCAGTTTTCTCTGGGGGATATTTAAACACAGTTCCTAGAAGTCATATCAAGAGTTAATATAACTGGTGTAATCCTCCAAAGCCCTTCATGTAAGAAGGCATCAGGTACTCTGCATTCCCACAGAGCTGGGCAGGGATCCAGAACGAATGGTATTCCAATGCCTGAGCTGTAGTGGAGACACATGATTGTTGCCAGAAGTCACAGAGAAATCATTGCACATGAGCAGCCAGCTTTGGCTGGGTATAATCTTATTCTAGCTGCTCTACAGAATGATCAGTGCTCCTGGGTTTCAGCTGTCCTAAGAAAATGACTGACACAAGATAGAAATAAGTTCCTGGGCTCAGTTGAATTCTTTGCATCCATTACCCTGGACAGCATGTTTATGCTGAGCTCGTAAGGCCTGTAAACCTGCCAGCACTGCCATGTGACACAGGCTTACTCTTTGATGCCACAATCTTTGACATGCCAATGGGATTTACTGCCATGGTATGTATGAGCACAGAATTTGCACTGCTTTGAATGCCAGAGCTGCTGCAAGAAGCAACCTTGGAATCTTTCACTTCTACAATTTTTCTGTGCAGGTCATTTGAACCAATTCTTCGACTCCTGCCACAAGGGATCTCTCCAGTCAGCCAGCACTGGGCAACCTGGGCACTGTTTAACCTGGTCTCTGTCTACCGTAAGTTCTACATTAGAAAACTATGTTTACTTCCCTGGACAGTGAACCTCTTGCTGAAGGATCTGAGCTTGCTAGAAAAAGCCATCTTCCCAATTTAACTACATGCACGTGGAGAGAACATTCTTTGAATGCTGGAGGAATGTCCAGGCAGCACAGCCAGAACAGAAACAATGACATGTAATACAGAGCAAATACCTTCAGTATTTCCATCCTTCTGGCAGTGTTTTTACATTCTTGTCCATTCTATGGCCTCCGTGTTCACAGCCAGAGTACCTGTAACAGGCTGACTCCATAAAAAAGTTCTGTGCTGTCTCATACAGCAAACTCCCTTCCTGCCACCCTGTTTCCTCCCTCTGCGAAGCTTCACAAAGACCTGTTTTATTCTTTTCTCCGCAGCTGACAAGTACTGCCCACTGCTGATCAAAGAAGGTGGGATTCCTCTTCTGAAGGACATGATTAAAATGGTTTCAGCACGGCAGGAGACCAAGGAAATGGCCCGGTAGGAAATCAATGATGTGCTGTCAGCAAACACTCAGTTTAGCTTCAGTTTAATTTTTATTTCCCCATATGGAGCAAGGCTACCAAATAAAGGCCTGCCCTAATGGCAGGAGCCTAGGGAGGTTTCTGTAGGTGGGCAGTACACAGACTGATTGATAGTACACAGAGGGGTTTGATGGACACTAGGCAAATGGAAATGTGTTGTAGAAGTGGCTTGATAGCCAGGAGAACCAAACCTGCTAGTTACATCTCTTATGCAAGCAGTCTCCTGTCATTATTCTTCTCCATACTTGTTCAATATCATACCACTCTGTCACCAGAAAAGCTGATGGCACAGTTAAAATGGGAGAATTTTTAAAAGACGGAGCGAGTCCACCACCTGTAGGAGCTTCCCCAGTGTACCTTTTTTTTTTTAACTGACCTTCCTTTGAAGTCATCCTTTCAGAGTTTTAAATGCCAGCTTCAATTTCTCATCATTGATACTCTGAGAACTRTGATTTCATACCTGCAGGAGGAATGAAACAAGAGAGGTAGAGATTGTCTGGGCATATATACCTTTTGGGTGGGCAGCAGATGCACCTTTAGAGTTGCTAAATGCTGGAGGTGACGGAAAACAGCAGAAAACATAGCAAAATATTGTTACAGGTTAAGCAGATTGTGCMTAGATTAGAAAGTGAACAAGTAATGGGACAGCACAAGAATGATAAATTTCCAAATGGAAAATCAGGGACAAATGACAGAAGAATGAAGGACAGATGTTTGTATGCACATTTGCTGATGTGATTCAGAGATGCCTGATGATTTAGGTATGGTCACATATAGATCTGGATGTATATAATGTGGCTTGCAATTCAGAGGAGATGAACTGAAACTCTAAACTGCTTTTGTGGAGTATATGGGTTTAGACTCAAATATTGCTTGATGTATATCTCAGGAAAGATACATTGCCTGGTGTAAGCAATGTACATTTACCTAGATTACTGTTATTGGCCCACAACTATAATGTGATAAGTTTTTAACTCTATCCTCTCTCCTTGTCCTTATTTTATCCATAGGAAAGTTATAGAGCACTGCAGTAACTTTAAGGAGGAGAACATGGACACTTCCAGATAGAGGCAATCACCTAGCGCCTCTTGCCAGCACTGTATCCAGCTTCTCTCTAATTCACTGTATGTAGGGAGGACTCTTGGCTGTTGGAAGGAAGCTTTATGTGTGTGTGTGAGACCCTCAGTAGATGAAGGTGAACAGGGGAGGGGGGAGGGACTTTTTGCACAACAAAATGCTTTCATTAAATTAGTGGACTTTTTCGTTATGAAGTTTCAGATTGAAGTTTTGTGTGTATGATTTCTGTATAAAAAAAAAAGAAAACAAAAAACGACAACTACATTATGTATCTTTTAAAACTTTTTTTTTTTTAGACCACACAGAAAGCCTCAAAAGTCCATGAGCTTGAAGATCTAGTTGTGTGATCGCTAGTGTGATGTTTTTAATTTCCCACTTTTTAGAAAATTCCCTTTTGCTGTATTGCATGAGTAACGTCCTGTAATGTCTACAAGAACACCAGTCCTGAATTGGCCTTGGCCACCAAATGGGGTTACAGGCAGTGATGAGTAACTTATTTGCTTAGAGAATTTGGGGAATGTGATACCAGAGACTTAGACCAAAAGARTTGACCTTCTTAGTAAACAGAGTAAACAGGGAAGAAAGTTTTCTCAAGCCTATTCATTCCCATCACAGGATTTATAGAAGACTCCTATTAGTGGACGCGCTGCTAATTCTACATGGGTCTATCAGAAGTAAAACATTCCTGGTAAAGTCAAGTTCTGTTTTGTCCCCTTTGGCAGTACAGTAGGATCTGTCACCCCATCAAGCCTCAGAAGGCCGGGGATGACCCCCAGAGCCCATTGCACATTCTTGGCAACATTTCTCTCTAAGGGAGCCTGTACAACAAGGAACAAGGTTCATTCATGAAGGGCTATACATCTTCATTTCGGTCCTTAACCACCTTTTTAGTTGTGTTCTATGGGCAAGGGCTACAAATGCCAGYGTGGTTTTCTACTCATCATAATAAGCTCTATTAGGCCCAAGGCAAGAGCAGCTTGTACCATTTGTACAACTTCCAGTAACGGACTGGAGGGGCTTTACTCCTCTGTGGTCTGCATTAGGGCTAGCTGTGCTCAAAGGCAAGTCAGTCTCCTTTTGCAGAAAAGTTCAGTACAGCACAAATGCTATAGAAGGAGGTGCTGACATCTCCTTCTGAGACTGAGGAGTCTTCAGGCACCTTTTGGCAGGTGATCACAAGAGATGGCACCTCTTGTCCCACCCCAAGTGTCTTCCCCCTTTCTGAGGAACAAAAGGCCCTATTCTTACCTGATTCCCACCAGCACTAACCAGTGCAGTCCCGCTCACATCAGCGGATTTCCTCCAATTTATCCTTATGCACGTGAGAGGAGAGTCCCACCGAAGTGTTCTTCACCTGTAAGACACTCCAGACTATAGTGGCTCAAGAAGGCAAAGGCCAAAGTTTATCTCACAGCCAGGCTCTCAACACCACATTGTGCAGTCTACGCTTAAGAGCCGTCTGCTTGTCACAACTCTTTGGTGATTCACAAGCCTTCCCTTGGAAGGGATTTTTATATCTGGTAGCAATGAGAGAAGACTGTGGCCATGTGAATTAGGACATTTCAGGCCTCTGAAATAGCACAGTAAAGCTCACTGCTCTCTTCCCTCGTATACATTGCTCTCAGATTTGATTCGCTGCTATGACAGGTTCTTCTAATGCTCAGTTAATGCTGAGCACATTATAGACAGATCCTAGAGACGCAAACTGACACTTTAAATGACAGAACACAGCTGCCCTGCAGAGGTTTACTTTTTCTGCCAACACGGTGTTACTCAATGTCTTTTTTTTTCATTTTAATCATATGTCATTTGTTTTGATATTGTGAGATCTGTACTTTTTCTTTAAGTATTTTTCAAACATATATATTTTTGTGTCACTTTTGAATTGTTTTCATACGGTCTGCAAAACTTGACAAATTATACTTTTTTGCAATCATTTGATTCAAATGTATTTTTCTCTCTTTTATTACTGTTCCCCAAGAATTTGTGTCTGTACAAGCTTTGAGAAAAGGAAGCCAATTTCAAGATCTGTTTTCCATGTAGTGCTTGTTAATCTTTCTCCTAGATGAAAAACTAAAGGAGGCTGCAAATATTGCTGACCAGCCTCTGTATTAGGGGAGTCAAACTTTGCTTATTTCATTCTCTAACTAGTGCCATCTTTTTCAAGTTGCCTCCTGTGGCAGTGCCCACCAGGCTTGCTTCTTTTTAATGCCCATGTAGTGAAAGCTGCCACTACTGAAATCTTAAATCAAGTGAGAGAAGCACGGGGGATTGTGATTGTGCTGGTGAGGTGGGAGTGGAGCAGAAGGGACACATCACAAATGGGACAGGTATGAGAAACCCGTGTGCCCAGCATGCAGCTACCATGACTGGGAGCCAACTGGAGCTCAAGAGTTCTCAGCTAGAGCAGAATTCAACTTTGCACTGTAACTAGGGCCAAGCAATGAGGTTTCACCCTCAGTTTTTGGCAAAACTGCACCAAGGTTAACGAACAAAAGATGACTTGGTTGTGTCCAGATTGGGATTTACAGGCATGAGGAGGTTGAGTTTCTTCACACTTGCACCCCTGTAATTTCAGGCCTTATTGAAGTACCCCAAACTAATTAGTTGCAAGCTGCATAACACATTTGTTTCACTATGTATAGATAAACTCAATTCTAAATGCTCACATGTCATCAGGCAAATCCTGATGAGTAAGAATGCTGTACCTTAATGAGAATAAAAAGCAACATGGAAATTCCTGCAATCAGATAGCCCAGCCTGCCAGAAATGCTTGGCTTTGTGAAGTGTGTCTCTGCTCCCAGGGGGAAGGAGGACTTGCCACAAAGTGATCTCTAACAGCTACTACACATGAGCTTTTCAGCCAAGCTACCAGCAAGATAAATTACAGAGACAGCATTAGGAAAAAAAAAGAGCATCCCTGTCGGTGTAATAAGAGCTTTGGCTACAAGTTCCTATTTCTTCAAGCCAGAGTTCTGTGAGGTGGAAAGTAACACTTTCCTTTCACTGAAGAGCAAAAGAAAGAAAGAGTCTCTCAAATATCTCAATGTAATTCCAGAATGCCTGTGATTTGGAGTTTGAAACTGTATCTCACTTTCCCTAATTGTGAAACAAGAAGGGCTTTTGAACCCTAGACTTTACGCTTGTGCCATGACCTGAAGCACTTTTAGGAGGCAAATTGGAGCTAAGGAATTGCTGCTGTGGATACAATGCTGAGGACAGAACAGGACAATTGCCTTCAGACATCGAATCAATACTCTGCAAAGGAGAGGAAAGTGGCTGATTCTCACAAAAGTCTTACATGAAAAGGGGAAGATGGATACCCTGAAATGCTCAACSAGTTACCCAGAAGCTTCTCAGTCCTTCCAGCTTCGCTGGAGCAAAAGAATGAACCAGGAGACTTAACTGCATAGGGAGCATGAAAGAGCAAAGGACCAATCATTCCCATCAGCGATCTGGAATGGGGTTATATCTACCAAATGAAAATCAGGCCCAAGAGTAGTTCATAATATGGTAAGATACAGCAGAGGGACAACTTGTATTCTGAAGTTGTCCCCTTCACACACTTACACTTTCATGTTTTCACTCTTACATTTCATTTAATATTCAATAGCTTGACAAGCAGAGCATGAGCACAACTCAGTACTACTCTGCAGAGACTGGGCCAACAAAGGGAGCCTCTACCTTGACTGTAAGTAGTTTCCTTCCTGGCTGGAGGATGTCTCCTGGTGTCKGTGGCCCAGGTCAGTGTATATCAGGTGTTTGCCATTTTCTCTGAAACAGATAAAAGAACAAGCTGGTGCTTCCCTTTTACAAAATCTGTGGAAGGAACTGTGTATAAAGTCTGGCATCTACATGTATGATGCTTAACACCAAGAAGTACCAGACTTGCTCATCTGGACCAAGTCAAGGTTTAGGAATAAAGGCTATGGCTCTTTGTAACACTACAGATCTGTCCCATCTRCATCACGCTGTTATCACCCAGCACCTACCTGCTGGCTCAAATGCTGTCTGTTCAGCACTGCATTCTACCCAGCTTGTCACCTGCATCGAGCTCCTGTTGGACTCACTTTGGTCTCTGCGGAAGATGAGGAGGTGGAAGAGTTTTGGAGCAATGAACCTATTCCTCTCTGATCACTGGAGGAAGAAGGGCAGGAGGAACAGGGGCATTCCATTGAGACGTGACTTCAAAGAATGCGCATGGCCTTGAGATTGCTAAAGAAGCAGCCAGACACGCTCAGGTGTTAAAAGGATGGCTTGTGCTGGAAAAAAAAAAAAAGAGAAACAAGAGAGAATTAAAACAGCTTGTCTCCACGACAACGAGAGGGTATGAAGCACCGAGGTTAACAGTTGTCAGTGAGGGATGAAAAGCAACATGGGGACTGGCTGAGAAGGCAGCACTTCGAGAAAAGGAATGATGGAGATTTCTTCCTGAAYGGAAATTATTTTTAACAGACTATATTTTGATTTCAATTAATTGTCATTGAATCTCTGAAATTCTTGTTAAAAAAAGTTTTTTCTTTGATTTGTTTCAGGAAAATAATCTCAGTTATAATGAGCAAATTTCTGCTTTTACTCTGTCCATTAATTTGCCTGATGTTGAGAAGCCTGATTCAAATGTTTGTACATGGTAAAACCAAGGGGGGAAAAAAAAAAAAAGAAAAAGAAAAAGCACAACTCTTGCTTCCTTACAATTCTGAATGGATTTTGTTTTCCTGTTGTATCCATTGGGATACCTGCTGTGTATTAAACCTAGTGCTTAGCAATGTCCTATTCCTTTGGTCTATGAGTATGGTTTACTTAAGTACATTATTGGTTCTTTTACTGTCATATATTTCATTAAAAATGGAAAGAACTGCCATGTGTTGATGGTGCAGTTCCTTGGCTATTGTCTTCATCGCTCCAAGCGATGCAATATTGTTTGACAATAGAAAAGCATGAAGGAAGAAAGTATTGTTATGAAACAGGGTGAGAGGAAAAAAGAACGATRTTACACTCCACTGATTGCCTCTAAACTCTAATATATCTAAGATTTGTAATTGGCAGAATGTTGAATACTTAAGACTTCTAGCTTCAGCTTTTAGCTTAAAAGGYGTCCAGTTTAAAACAGTCAGTCTGCCTTAATGCCAGGGTGACTTTCTTAAGAACCTGATCCTGCAAGAGTTCAGCTTCCTAAAGGATCAGACTCTAAGTGGATTAAACAGGGAAGGAACCCTGTGAAACTGAACTGCCTCCGGTGAACTGAAAACGTATCATTGTGAGGGTAAAGAGAGATCCTGCAGCATGGAATTTCTAGCTGGGTACATACCCTAAGAATCTAGATCCTCTCCGCAGAAACCTGCTAATGGAGGCTTTCTGGAACTTAGCCTCATTTCCACCCAGACAGTCATTAGGTTGAAACACTTGAGAAAGAGATAAGCTCTGATCTCTGTAAGACAGGTTTCAAAGCCTTAAGATAAAAAGCATAATGCATACCAAATTATTCTAATCACAAAGACGGAGAGAATACATTCCTTAAAACAAATTATTCTGGAATATCTGAATGTTTCTGCTTTGAAATGGGTAATGCTATTACTAGTTACATTGTCTCATTAAGCTTTAGATTTTAAACCTCTCTGAGATGAACCGAAAGACACTACCCATTTTTTTTTCCCCCTATTTATATATAGACAAAGGCTGGTGCTATGTGCTGAGCTTCCTAGTGGCCTGAAAGGCCTCCTTTGTGAGGAGGRAACAGGAACATTGCCAGGACGTTTAGAGGGTGTGGGAGGCTGGGCCCTCTCTCAACTTCTAGCACGAGGTTTGACCAACACTGGCCCAGTCCGTGAAGTTTCCGAGAGAGAATTTCTGTAGCTCTTGCATTTCCCTAAGGAATAAAAAAAAAAAATAAATAAAAAATAAATTAAAAAAAAAAAAAGGATAAAGAGTGATTTGAATGATTGTTTGGAAGGTAATTTAAGTCTATAGTTTTTAATAGTATTTCAATACTGTTGTCTTGCATTAACACATTGGGTGATCCGTGGGGCCTGCTGCTCTACAGGAATCAGCAGKGGGGCACAAAGGTAAAATACAAGCCAAAATAATCCCAAATGTTACAATGTACCAAATTTATCACTAAACATTACCAAAAAATTGGCTCCTTTCCAGGTGCTAAATACGTAAGGAATATTATTTTTCCCCATTTTCTTTTACTGGAAGGAAGCAAAGTGAAAAAAAGTCTCTCTTCGGGGATCCCCTGCGGGTGGCTGAGGGACGGGGAAGGAGCCGGCGGCGCCGGGGCCGGCAGCGCCCAACGGCCGCGGGCGGCTCCGCCGGGCCCGGCTCCGCCTTGAGGGCGCGACCGCGGCCGCGCTGCCCGCCCGCTCCGTCCTCCCTTCCGGGCCGGGCCGGGCCGGGCCAGGGCGRCGCCGCCATGGGGGCCGGCGGGCTGCGGGTGCGGGCGGCGCACACGGCCCTCAGCGCGGCCCTGGCGCTGGGGCTGCTGCTGCACGGCACAGGTGAGGCCGCGGCGGCCGCTTCCCGCCCCTTCCCTGCTCCTGCGTTGTCCCCCTTTTCTTCCGGGCGSCTCCGGGAGAAGGCGGCGGGTGAGGAGGGGGACGCGCAGCCCGGGGTGGGAGAGCCGCGGAGCGCCCGGGAAAAACGCGTCTTCCCGCTCCTCAASAGCAGCTTCATGCCCGGCCTGGCCAGACCAGACTCCTCGTTCTAGGCACTGAGAGACTCCAAGGCGCTTTGCAGGGAATTGGCCTCTCCTGTGTTTTTCGGGGTACCTTTCAGACCTGCGGAGGCGAGAGGAGCGGGGGGAGCTGCTGCAGCCCGTGCTCTTCGTGCTGCTGGTCCTGTGCTCCGTCCTGCTGTACCTCAAGGTGTCCCTCATGGATCCGGGTTTTGTTAAGGCTGATGAGGAAGGACAGGTAAATCATTTTAGGAAGGAAAGTGCTGAGGCTAAAAATACATCTTTGCTTTTGCCTTTTCCCTACTATGCTAGACAAGAACAGTCTGAAATGGTTTCCACTGCGTTTAGCATGAAGGAAAGACACACAGCTGGTAGTACCTGGACTTTAAGTGCATCTTGGGGAGCACATTTGCTTTGCAAGGGCGCTGTGCCACCCCAGGACAGATCCTCTCCTGCCTTGGAGGCCCTGGGGAAGTCGTAGGAGCGTCCTTGTGTTGCTAACTGCTGCCAGCAAGTACAAAGAGAGCGGACTCAAAGAGCAGCTTGGAAGGAGATACTCGCGGCAGCTCGGCTTACTGCAGACAGATCTGCAACGGATCTAAGATCTATTAGATCTGCTTATAGATCTGCTTACAGAGCTGTTGCCCTCTCAGAAGGCGGACACACAAACAAGCAACAGTGAGGTTGTAAACAGAGGTGCCAAAATACAGTACCTAAGAGATACCCTCAGCAGGGTTGCTGACTTACTGATTGTATAGGACAAAAACAACAATGCTTTCCCCTTTTTAATCTTCTACCATCAATTTAAGCATCTGGATTATGATTAAGTAACATTGCTTTTACTCRGAGGACATAATAATGATGTTTGGARGCAGAGTCTGATCTTGCTTATTTGCATCCCAAAATGTAGTTTGGGGGTCCAGGTGGTGTCTTATCAACAGTTACTTCTGCTTGAAGACAGATATTCCTTTGAATGGTTACAGCAGCAACCTGCTATCTCTGGATACACTTTAATTACGTTTCATGGCAAGGTACTTACCTAGCAGCTTCTGTACTTCTCCAGGACTTTTTCTTCAGGATAGAGATAACAAGCACTGTGTACTCAATAAGTAAAAGGAGCCAGAGAGYTCAGTCATGCCAAATGGGCCAATAGCTGCTGTTACTTGAGACAGCAGCACATGAAACATCCTCAGTCACTCCCTCTATCTTTTTTGGTAGGCAGGAAAAACTGAAGAACAAAGCATGATGTCAGCCCCAGTTCCAGGCAATATTAAGATGCGACGTTGTGGCTACTGTATGGTGAAGGTTGGTATTCATAACACTCTAAAAGGGAAGGGAAGGGCCAATTTAAAACTTRTTTTCCTCTGAACAATTGGTACAATTCTTGTTGCCTGCGTTTTCTTGCTTAGCCACTGCTCCTCACTGTTCTGTGCCTTGGAGGCCTGACAGATCTGATTAATTCACCTTCTTACTGAAAAACTCACAGCAAAAGCAAACACAACTAGCAAATTGATTTTGGTTACAATCCTAAACAGAAAAGTGATTGAGATGGACTGTGTAACTAAAGATATAATGATGGAAATTTTAACCTCTTCTAAGGTTAAAAAGTCYCTGATAGCTTAAAGAAATAGGGATTTACTTTTACTCTATTCCACCATGGAAAAAGTATATTTTACATTCTTACTGCCATAGCAGTCAGACGTTACTGTATTGTCAAAAAAGCTTACCTTCAAGTTATTTTGATAGTCAAGAAGGCAGCTTAGCACAACATATAACATCCCATAGCARCTGTGAGCTTGTTTGGAAGTCTAGAGACATTAAAACATAAACCTGAACTGTAAAACATAGCATGAAAAAGAAAGATCACAGCAATTAAACAATTTTTTTCAAGGAGATTGAAAGCAAGCATTTCTAGGCTTTAGGCAAAGTGCTTCTTATCAGTTTAATAAAATCCAGTATTATCTCAGTTTCCATGAATTCCTGAAGAGTATCTGCTTAAAAAAAAAAAAAAAAAATCAGCTTGTGGCAAAAGGATAAGCTGGTTTTGGGGAATGATTCACAGGAGGCACATCCACGTTACTTTCTTCAGCCCTAACTTTCTTCATCTTTGCCCTGGTACTTGAGCAGCTTTCCTGCCTAAATGCCTCATGCTCACGCAGAAGGAGAGCCACTTACCCCCATTTTGCAGTCCCCTAAAGGCATTCTATCCTACATTCTGCACTCTGGCTTTTCAGCAAGAGTTTTTCACCCCTCTGCTCATGTTTTCCTGAATAGCTGCAGCCCCTCTGAATAAACTGTTGGGCTGTTTGCACACAGGGCTTCCCTTAGAGGGAGATAACAAAGAAMATGTATGGGTTTGGAGAAGTCATTTAATTGGGATCTTGCCCCTTTTGGATCTGTTCCAGGGGATTATGAGCCCCTGTACTTGTTTTAGCAACGTTACTGCATCGTACGTTAATGGCAAGGGGGAATACTTTTGTGCCTGCCTTGCTGTGGAGGACAACTTTGCCTGATGCCCTTTTCTACAAAGCAGGAAAGGGAACAGCAGTGAACTAGGGCTACTGTTTGGTTTCTTCTGCAGCAACCAATGCGAGCCAAGCACTGCCAGCTGTGCCAACACTGCGTTCGCCGTTACGACCATCACTGTCCCTGGATTGAGAATTGTGTGGGAGAGAAAAATCACCCTCTCTTCATAGTCTACTTGAGCGTGCAGCTTGTAGTTCTACTGTGGGCTTGGTACATTGCTTGGTAAGTCCTGAAGACAGCAGTTCTGTGTTATTTTGGGGTTGGTTGGTTTGTTTGTTTTATTCTACAGCCCTACCAAAGGTTTTGTGCAGAWCAGAGCAGCCATTTGTTTAGCTTTTCATCTTCACTTTCAGTTGCATACTGAGGATCAGCTCTTTCGAGACCTCTAAGCTGAGGAATAATTTTACAGAGCCCCTTCTCATTAAAGAAGTAGCTGATACATAATTACTGAAGTAGAATCTGATACTAAAACCCAAATGATCTTCGCTTAAGCTTAAATTTAACAGAATTATTAACCTAATGAATTTTGTTTCACTTATTGTAATACAACCTTCATTCTCAAATTGAAGTACTGGAAAATCCAAGAAGGGTTCAATTGTACACCTGTTCAGGACCTAAACTAAACTAAACTTAACTAAAGACTACCATATCTCTCATTTCAGAGAAACAGCATCTTTTAGGCTTCTTAGATTTTAAGAGTTTATAGCATATTAACATCTCTGTACTATACCAGAGATTCCCTATTTGTGAGTCAAACGTGCCATCAAGTTTGTTTGCCTTATGTACTTTAGTTTTACATCTTTAATCTTGAGCATGTTTCTGTTTGAATTGAAAGGTCAGGCCTCCACTTTGAACAGTCCTGGGACTGGCTGCAGCACAATATTTTTCTCATCATCTCCTTCCTCCTGATAGTGATATTCACTATTGTTGACCTGTTGCTGCTTATTTCACACCTCTACCTGGTCTCATGCAACACCACAACTTGGGAATTCATGTCACATCATCGCATCTCCTACCTGAAACATTCCGAGTCGGAGAATCCCTTTGACCAGGGGGTGATCCTCAACCTCTGGAGATTCTTCTGTTCATGCCACCTCACTACATGGGAGAAAATCTACTTTCACAGGGACAGTGAACCTGTCTAGTCACAGTAGAGTCTACCTAGTAAAGTGCCAAAACACCTGCAGGTTGCTGGATTAAGTTTTACTAACCAAGTGGTTGCCATCTAATTGCATAGAATTTCAGTACATAATGAACTGTACAACTTATTCCAGAGACTTCTCAGCCATTAAAAAAATAGTTACATTTTTAGAAGAATAGTCAGGGTTATTCTTTATGTATGAATGGCTAAAGGGAAAATACTGGTCTGGGAAGGCTAGCTTCTTTTGACCAAGYGGAAATACTTGGTTAACTTTACTGCTGTTGTTAAATTTCTTCTCATGAGATTTGGATGCAATACAAAACTTGGGCAAAAAAGGTACGTGCACTTTTGCTCCCTAAAGGTTCCGCTTCTTAMCGCTGCTAGGAAACGGCAGCTCTTCTTACAGACAAGCAAGCCAGAATCAATATCATTTAATATAATGTGGCCTTTCTTCAACATCATTCTCACTGTGAGAACCCACTATGCCTTCTCACTAGTGTTGGACAAACAATAGAAAGTTTTGAGTAAATATAACAGATAGTAAAAAGCAAATTTCATCTCAACTACATACTCAAAAGCTCATGCTTGTCACAAAGGTTTGAGATTTGTGTTAACTGCATGAGAAACGTCTGTAAGATACATATTTCAGCTGAAATAATTAGCCTAATACTCTGTGATGYCCTGACTCACTTCCTAACAGAAACATCAATTTAACAAAACTGTACGCAGTCCAGAGACTATTCTGAATGCATTTGGCCAAGAAAGATGCCATTCACTTTTTACTAGACACAAAAGCAGTACTTGCCTCCATTGATTTCTGTGGACAGCTTCATGCTGCAGCCTTCACCACAGCTTCTACGGGAAATAGCCATTACTTAAATAATTATATATACACCACAGGAAAAACAACAAACAACTAATASTAAAGGTGGTTTCTTCTTGCCTGGCTGAAGTAATGCTAGTCCAATACTACTACCTCAGTATCTTCATAAAAATGTTAACMGAAGCATATAAAGTTTCAATATAAGGGAAAAGATTCTAGGTCCTATTTATTTCTATGGCATTAGGGAGTGCCAAGAGCTTTTCAAGACAGCAGTTAAAAAAATGAAGTCTTAAAGTTATTTTGTGCCTTAATTTCCTTAAGTCAGGAGCTAGCACCGATCCAGGAGCATATCTGGCAAGCTGATAGGGTGCACTCAGGGTTTATGAGCACTCAGGAAAGGAAAGTGAAGTTACTAATACACAACTGTAGTCCCAAAGCAGCTTGAACAGCTGAAGGATCCCTTTTTTAGCCAGTTCCAGAAAGAGCTTGCAATCTGCATCCAGTCTGGTTTGCTCAGGGCAGAAGCTCTTATCAGAGGGCTATCAAAAAATGAAAAATTGTTTTCATAATAATGATGTACAGTCCCTAATGGATTGTGTAGTTTATTCTTATCAGTATGGCATTACCAAAGTAAGGCTTATCTGCCACTTAGCAATTTCTGGTTCTTCAGTTATCAGCCAAATAATGTTGAAAACACACTAATGCTCTGTTTGGCAATTCTGTTTTTAAACACAGACGGGTGGTAAATTACAGTCTTTTTACTGTACTGTAAACTATTAAAGAGATTCAGTACTCCTTTTGTGGCTCTTTATGCCTCTTCCTTTGAAACCCAAGTTCTAGACTTCTCTTGTGCTAACAATTCACTGCTAGGTTACTTTCCAGCAGTCCTGATCTTAAARAAAAAGATCCACAAAACAGCACTGTAGGGACCAAAGCCAAACCAAGCAATACTATTTAAACAAAGGTGAAGAAGATCTGTGTCCTTCCTTAAATGGGCTGTTATGTTACAAGGCAGAAGTAGGAGCTTGAAAGCATACTCTGAAATTTTCAGAAGCAACCACACTTGGCTCTGAGGAGAACTAGGTTCTATGTGAATTATTTCTGTTATACACTAATAAATATACTCTTACCTCTCTGAATCCTGAAGYGCTTAGACCAGGCTTGATTTAATGGGGGCTACTCACTGGCTGTACTCTAGCCTTATCTCCAGGAGTAACCCAGTTGCGGTAAGTTCAGCCTCTGTCTATCTCTGCTGAAGATAAACAGAGCTATTACTCTTTGGTTTAACTTGTTGTTTTCGATGGGCTATTTCCTTTCTACATTCTCTTACCTTTTTTTTTGCCCTATGTGCCACTCTAATGAATAAGAAAATGCATCTTCTCAAGTGTTAAGTACACATGATAGGGTACCAGGCAAATGAAATCAACTTTTCCAGTATTAAAATTGTCATTATATTAATATTTAAATAATATGAGATATATGCATAGATAAAAACAAAGAGAAATTTTTCCTGCAGTCATTTGAATGTGATAAGTGATTATCCGATGCAGTATGTACAACAGGAATGAGAAGGAAGGAAGGAAGGAAGGAAGGAAGGAAATACTACTATGCCATTTGCATAGAAAAATAAAACTCTTTTCTATAGAGCAGAACATGGTTGGCCCTGATATGAAACAAATTCGTTTAACTTAACACTAAAGGAGATGAAAAACTGTGACTTCATTATAAGGAAAAGTATCTTTATTTTGAAGAATACCATGTGCAAAGCTGTGGGGGTTTTATATTTAAAAACAATAGCTAAGATTTAGCATCATCCAGTAAATAGAAGTCTTTTGCTTTAAGATAGTTCATTTGGATCATTATCAAACTGAAACTTCATTATCTTGGTTATATTAAAATCTATTCCTTCCCTTGCATATCATACCTATGGATAGGAATGTGTAAAAAAAACATTTGCAAAGAGGGAACATTGCATATCTCTTCTAGAAAACAGGCGGGATTGTCCATTCCCGCTGCTATTACACAGCTTAAGAGAGCTATGCCACTTACTGGGGCTCTTCACAAAGAGTAACCTGGGAAGATTTGATTTCATTAAGTCCAGTTTAAATTCCAATTTTCCATCTCTATTTAATGGCAGCAAATGACACACCCATCAAAAACTGACTACTACTTAATGTAATCCAGTATCCATCCAAAAGCTGGGACTGAAAAAAAGGCAAGTAAACAACTTGGCTTGTAAGACACTGTCTTCCTAGTGTCATCAGCACTACCAGTTCTTTGAATTCTTGTGATTTTTCCATTTCCATTGTTCAAATTTCTTTCTACACAGCAGTCAAACATCTAAAAGATGTGCAGAGACAAAGTCAAAATCCTTGAAGAGAGCCTGTTCCTTACGGGTTAGGATAGCAACCTCCTCTGGAGGAGTCAGAATTGGCTTTTGCGATGTGAACTCTTCATCAAAGTTGCTAATGTCAGTTGGAGCTTTTAAGGTGGGCACAAAAGGGGGCTTCAGTTTCCTGGCAAGCAAGGCATCCCAATCAATTTCCTGCAAAGAGCAAAGTGAACAGCCCAGATTGACACTGAAATTATGAAATGTAAGACAAAGTAAGATGACTGATTGCAGGCTGTCTCCCACATAATTTGCAACAAGCCTAATTTCTACCAAGTGAAAAATAAATAAATAAAGCTGGAACTGCAAACATGGTGCAGGCCAGGTGACATATATTTACATAGCCCAGGGTCACATATCAGAAGATGCTACAGCTCAAGCTATATTCAGAAGGAGCAAGACTAAAACAAAGCTAGGCACATCAGCATACTTAGCAGCAATTTGTGCCAACAGTAGAGTTCATTTCATTTCACTTCATTTACTCCAGCGTAAAGCCAACCAGATACTAAAAGGTTAATAACTTCTAGTAACATCTTTGCCTAGACAGCCATGTACCCTCAAACCCAAGCATATGTGTCCTTAACCTCAATTTCTCTTATGATTCATGTATATCGAGCAAATGGAGATGTCATAAAATACTGGCAATCACTATCATCATTAAACTGCATCTTTGCTGCACTTTGATCTAAAAAGGGCTATTTGCTGATGGCACAGAAGGTAGGTGTATTTACACACAGAAGTAGCACAATGGGAAGTAATACAGTTCCTGGAAGCTTACAGATCCCAGGAAACACATGTTGTCATTTCCAACATGACTTGAAACACTTATTGCTGACTAGAGAACAAGGTGCCACAGAAGCTACCATTAAGATGTCACTGATAACTAAGGGAAATTCGTCTCCATGCCAATATAAAGCAAATCACTCAGCTCAAACACAAGAGCTGAGGGGGAAGGATAAAGAGAGCTCCTACCTTAAAAAAAGCCTGTATTTTAATTTCTTCTGCATCTCTTTCCCCTGCTCCCAGTCTACGCTCTGGACATTTCCGAAGCAGCTGTAAGAAAAAACGGTTCAAAGTTAAATAACCAGAACAAGGATGGGCAGAATACTCCATTTGCAGCAAGATTTTAAACTGCTTGTAGCAGTTCAGACATAGCTCTTTGTATACAGCTTGCAATTAAAATTGTTCACAAATGACAGAATTTAATCAAAATAAAACAAAAAAAAATCTTATCAGTAATATAGCTATAAACCATACATAGCATCTCATCTTTATCATGCAYACATGATGAATGGATCAAATTTTAAAAATGATCAAGCCATCTCCATCAAATTACTCCTGCTCTTGAATCAATGCTTCAGCATTACAGAATTAGCAGCAACAGCCCTCAGTCAGAAGCCTGCTTAGTCATCCTTAGCCAGGAGAATAGCATTTATGTAGAAAGAAAAGAGGGAAAAATAACTATACGTGTCAATTTTAAATGCCTCCCTAGACGGTGTAGGCAGCTCCAGATTACACACACAGATGCTGTCTCGCCTGAACAACATCCCTCTGGATCCACTTAGGATAAATGTAGATTTCTCAGGATCTAGGAGAACCCCCAGCCCRTTACCTTGCGGATTATAGAAAGTGCCTCTGATGAAAGGAAACGCGGATATCGGACTTCATCGTTGACAATACTGTCAAACACTTCTTCCTCATCATCTCCAGGGAACGGTGACTGCAATTGAGAGATTTTTATTATTTAACCCACACAGCACCTCTTTCATAGTATAAAAGAAGAGATGAGAATAGGTGAAGTTGTAGGGATTAATGAGTTTTTGGCAAGCAATATAAACAAGAAAAAGGATGGTAGAAATACTAAATGACAAAAAAGCCAATGGTAAGGCTGGGAATATCAGACTGCTGGAGTTGTTTTCAAAAAAACAAAGGGAAGTAGAAGACTCATAGCTCGAATGCATGAGGAACTCCCAACTATGCCTGAAGTTATTTTAAATGCTGAATAGTTGTTGGCCACTTCCACCAAATTTTTACCTCGTACAGTCAAGTACGACCCCAAGGTTGCTTGGTGAAACTCCATTAAAGAAAGGTGATCTTACCTCACCAACAAGCATCTCATAAATGAGTACACCCAGTCCCCACCAGTCTACTGCACGGGTGTACGAGACGTCTGTCAGGACTTCTGGAGCCAGGAATTCAGGAGTGCCACAAAAGGTGTTTGTATGGTCTCCAAAACCCATTCCTGTAGAGGGAAAAAATTAAAAAAAAAGTGTTGTAAAATCCAGCAGAAACATGCAGTCCTATCCTTTGAAAGCCATATTGATAAACTAATGCCCTTAACTGTGTGAGAGTTCTCATCGTTTTGGTAAACGTCACTTAGGAAGAATGGAGTCTGAGGCTCCCAACAAAAACAACTCTGAATGCAAAGTAAAAATAATACAGACAACACTTTAACACTTTAAAATAAACAAACAAACAGTGAAGCTTCCTGAAGACTCCACTGCTCACTCAGAAACACATTGTGTATAACTATATCCTGGCTCCTTTGGAGGGGGGAAARAAATACATTGTTAACTCCTTGGTAAGTCTCCTGAAGAGTGGAGACTAAATACTCTTTTCCAGTTCATTATGGCCAGACAGATAAGATTTCTTTTAGATTGGAATTAGACTGGAATAAACACAACACCTAAAGAGGACCACCTGCATATTTGCATTTGCAAATACGTTACTAGACTGCAGATCCTAAACGTCATCCTGATGGTTCAGCTTTGGATTCACCAGAATRACTCACCTTCCTTACACAGTCCAAAATCTGCAATTTTCACAAAACCTTCAGCATCTAAGAGGAGATTATCCAATTTCAAATCTCTGTGGGCAAAGAAAGGGAAAGAAAACAGTGGATGAAGCCTGGAGATGCCCATCCAACAGCTTTTTTCACGAGAAGCACAAACAAGATGTAAGTAAAGATAATGAAATTAATTAAATAGTATTTGAAAGAATCCACCCAAAAAGCCATTTTACTAACATTTTCCTCCTAATGAAAGGCTCATAAAGCAGCTTAGAGCTACATGGGGCTTATTCATCTGCTAAAAGGGCATCTCACAGTAAAAGGAAAATTACTCAGCTGTCTCAATCCAAAAGAAAGCAATGGCTCACAGTTGTCCCCAGAAGGTATTTGGCATATCACAGAAGATGAATCACCTGCAACATGTCAGATGAASACCTCCTAGATGACTTTCTTTACCATAGGTAATAAAGACACAAATGATGAACATGCACTGACAGCAACAGGAGATGGGGGAGGTAAACAAAGAAGGATCAGAAACTCTAGAAAGACAGTGAGATCCAAATATGCAGCTACAGGAAAAATAAACTTTCAYGCTGCTGAAATGTCCTATACTTGATTCTCTGCTGCATTACCTATAGACAATT